GTCTAATAGCAATTTTTCTGATAACAATTGTGCTAGCAAATTAAAATGAAATTAAAAAAAAAAGAAGTTTCAGATTTGCTGTTCTTGTTTGTAGGGCTGCACAATTTAGTAACAAAATATATATGATTATCAATATGGCTATATAATAATGATAATATAATTAAATACAATAATTTTCATAAATATTACTACTAAATAATACAACTAATAATATTTTTAAATATTAGTACAACTATACAACTAAAATACCAAAATATAATATTTAAAAATAATTATAATTTTCATAATAATAATAATAATAATATTGTAATAATAATATATTTTAACTATTACTACTACTAAATAAAAATATTTAAAAAAATATTAAAAGATGTTATCACAACTGTACAAATCACAATATTAATATTTATGGATAAAATTTATTCTTATTTTTTGCAAATGTTAAACAAACTTGGTGTTTTCAAAATTGTGTGATTATCGATTAATATAGCTATATAAAAATAATAATAATAGTAATTATTACTACTACTACTACTAAAAATATATATTTTTTAAATAATGTCATTTTACAGTACAACTGTAAAAACTACAATACTAACATTCATGTGTAACATTTATTCTTGATTTGAAAGCGTTAAACCCTCAAACTTTTATTTTGGCTGAAACCGCAGGGAGCACTTTAAGTTTGTGAAGATGGTTGGCACAAGTTGCGTTTTTAAATGCAAGTTATAAGCGACCCAATCTCAGAGAAGATGCAAACATGACTTCATGTGGATCAGCATTTACCGTAAACCAAGCCGCTTTGAGACGCTGAAAACACCGGATTCACTCTGAAACACGTTTATTTAATTAAATCATAGCCTTTGCAAATTGATAATCGCTCTAAGCCACAGATATGCAGGGACTTCTGGGAGTGCAGTAATTTGCTAAAATGCGGATTTCCCAATGCTAGCGTCCCAATACTGGGGAACATGGAACATTTGAAGCTCTGTGGATCTTCATTCCTCACATTCCCCAGCGGAGAGAGAGCGACAGAAGCCCTCTGAACTCCCACTAGAGAGAGCGAGAGAGACGGTCCAGCTCCTCACAACCCACACCAGGATGGAATGTGTCTCTTCAGCACTTACATAAACACTCTCTCTCTCTGTCCCTCTCTGGGCTAATATTTACTGTGGAACGCACTAAACCAGTGTTTGGTCCTCTGCTGGAGGGTTCTGGAGGTCAAAGCACAGAGTCAACGGCTGCAGGTCAGAGTCTGTGGGCATTCAGCATCGAACAACAACTAATCTCACTGGATCAATCACGTTTAAATGGAGTTTTTGTATATTCTAAAGAAATCATGACTGGAGTTTGACTAAAGTTGCTAGGGTGTTTTCCTTGAATTATGAGTGATTTTTAACCAAATTGCTATGCGGTGGCTTAACGACACACAAAAAGTCTAAAAGGACAAAAAAACGTCTCCATGAGTTTGATGAATCATATAGCTATGCTTGTAAATGCATACTAGTGGATGCATAGTTCCCTACTACAGTTCAAAAGTTTGGGGTCAGTACAATTATTTTAATGTCTTGAAAGACATATCTAATGCTCGCCAAGGCTGCATTTATTTGCTCACGAATGCAATAAAAATTGTAATATTGTGAAATATTATTACAATTTAAGATAAGAGTTTTCTATATGAATATATTTTAAAATATAATTTATTCCCGTGATGCAAAGCTGACTTTTC